TGTTACCTTGTTGGGTCATGAAATATCTGCAAAAATACCATCAAGCTCAGAGAGCACCCAGGACTCCATAGTTCAAGCCTGAGTTACACAGGTTGGAACAGCATTGGGTCTCAGATTATGTTTATTTGATTTTTATCTGCCTTGATGACTTTATAAGTAAATCAAGGTGACAGACAGACATAATATTTCCTCCTTTTTTTTTTCTTTTGCAACTTTTTGAGGGGGGCCCAGGCTCATCCAGATGGCTTTCATGCCTAAAGTGAGACTAGAGCTAGTATCTCTTAGGGATTGGCCCAAAGTCTCACAATCTCCCTCCCTCCCTCTTGTCTGTCTGTCTGTCTGTCTATCATTTATTTATCATCTATCTAGCTATCTAACTATCTCTCTCTCTCTCTCATCTATCTATCTCTATCTATTTTATTTATTTATTTATTTATTTATTAGATTTTTATACCGCCCCCTCTCCCGAAGGACTCGGGGCGGTGAACAGCCAAAGTTAAAAACATACAATATAAACAATTAAAATACGTTTAAAACAGAATTAAATCTAAAATGGCTCCCCAATTTAAAATGCCTTACCCATACCCCTATAAAAAGACGAATTTAAAATTTTAAAATTTAAAATTTCCACATTTAAAAAGGGGGAAGATTTAGGCCAGGCCAGCTTGATAAAATAGAAAGGTCTTAAGCGCGCGGCGGAAGGTGCGCAGATCCGGGATCCTACGTATCTCCGGGGGGAGCTCGTTCCAAATCGTAGGTGCCCCCACAGAGAAGGCTCTCCCCCTAGGGGCCAACAGCCGACATTGTTTGGCCGACGGCACCCGGAGGAGCCCCTCTCTATGGGAGCGTACTGGCCGGTGGGAGGCTATATATAGATCTATGATCTATCTATCTATCTATCTATCTATCTATCTATCTATCTATCTATCTATCTATCTATCCATCTATCTTTCTCTCTCTCTTTCTCTATCCATCCATCCATCTATCTCTTATCTATCTATCTCTATCTCTCATCTATCTATCTCTATGATCTATGATCTATCTATCTATCTATCTATCTATCTATCTATCTATCTATCTATCTCTATGATCTATGATCTATCATCTATCTGTCTATCATCTGTCTGTCTGTCTGTCTGTCTATCTAGCTCTAGCTCTATCTCTATCTCTCATCTATCTATCTATGATCTATGATCTATCTATCTATCTATCTATCTATCTATCTATCTATCTATCTATCTATCTATCTCTATCATCTATGATCTATCCATCTATCTCTAGTCCAGCTTTAGGCATGTGTGTGTGTGTGTGTGTGTGTGTGTGTGTGTATAAAACATTGTGAGGAAGAGGCAATTATGTTTTTAAAAATGGAACCATAGCTATTATGTTTTTAATCTGTGCTCCTTTTCTTTCCCCCAGGTTGCTTCATTCTCTTCCTTTCAGTAAATTAAAAATCCTCCAACTTGATTAAAAGTGATTATACTTTATTTTAAAAGTTAGCCATCCGTAAGGCCTGGAAGAGCTGGCATTTCCCTCAGGCCAAAGTGTTTGTCGTTCAGGTCAAGTTCATCAGCTAGCAGCCTCAGAAACATTGTATTGTGTGTATGCGTGTAATTAAATTAGTTATTTCAATTACGAGGGCTTTTTAAAAAAAATTAAATTATCCTTTCTTGTGTTTTTAGGCATTGTCAGCCATCCAGAGTCACCAGACTGAGATTTCTTTAGAAATCACATCAAGTCCTCGATTTACAGCCCAACATTTCTATAGCTAAATCTGTTGTTAAGTAAATTTTGCTCCATTTTACGACCATTCTTGCCACAGTTGTTAAGAGAATCACTGCAGTCATTAAGTGAGTCACACAGTTGTTAAGTGAATTTGGTTTCTCCATGGACTTTGCTTGTCGGAAGGTTGCAAAAGGGGATCACATGATCCCAGGGTACTGAAACCGTCATAATATGAGCAAGTTGCCAAGGGTCTGAATTTTGATCACATAACCATGGGAATGCTGCATTGGTCATTAAGTGTGGAAAACAGTCATAAGCCACTTTTTTCATCACCATCGCTTGAATGGTCACTAAATGAATGGTTGTAAGTTAAGGACTACCTGTATAGAATCACACTTTCTATGAAGATATTTATAAGGGAGAAGTCAACCCACAAAAGTGTTTGTTTCATTCAGATCTTCCTGAGACCCACAATGAAGCATCTCCTTAACAACCAGATTCCGCAGATAATGTCCATAATGACACATGTCACGTATCACACAAAGACACAGAAGCCACAACCACACATCAAACTATACAGCAGAGTTTACAAACCACAACATTAGCATCTCTCCAACCTAAGCCAACATCAAACCACTTTATGACTAGCTTGATGCAATACCTCTAACCGGGCTTCTGGATGTACAGTGGGTCAGACTAGATGACCTCTAAGACATCTTCCAACTCTATAACGGGAATCCATCGAATCATCCGACAATCAAAGTGGCTGGGTTTGCCCAAATTGCTAAGCCACAAACATACTTTTAACCAGATTAATGCTAACCACACAGAAGTGTTGCATTTCCTGTGTCGTGTAGCCCACACTTAATTATGGTGCTCAGGATCCCAAACTTTCATTCAACAACCCAACAGGTAAGAGTACAGCTCCATTTGTGCAGTTTGGCCAGTCCTGCTTCTCACTTGATGGAACCCAAGGTTGTAAGATGAAGATCAGGACAGATTTTGGTGGCCCTGCAACCTAGTTATCTCCTCCCCCCTGCCCAAGCCATCCTGAGAGGGGAGGTTTATATGACCATGCAACTCACTCATGGGTGACTTACAGCCATAAAACACCAATTAAAAAAACCAACAACGAATCCACACACCTCCTGGTGACAACAATCAACAACCACACGATGGACTTCATATCACCCTGGAGCCCTGAGCCCTGTTGGCCAAACCTGGTCTTCATGGCCTTTAAGGCAAGGTCTCAAGCTGGAGACCAATCTTATCTCCACAGGGATGATGTTCCACAGGGAAGGAAGCCAGCATGAAGAAGGCCCTTCTTTTGGGCCCCGCCAGATAGACTGAGGTCCCATAACAGTTCCTGCCTCTCCCCTTTGGTGGGTTGGGTGGATGTAACTGGGGAAATACGGTCCTTCAAATAACAAGAGGGAGACACCATGGAGAAGGCCCTCCTTTTGGGTCCCACCAGATGGACCTCCTTAAAAGATGGGACCCATAACGTTTCCCGCTCTGGTGGGTTGAGTAGATGCAATTGGGAAAAGACAGTCCCTTCAAATAACCTTGGAAGGCCTTTGAAGGTGACCACTAGCACCTTGAATCGGACCCGGAAGCCAATCGCCAGCCAATGCCGAGAGGTGACCCGTGTGCGAATCTAGACTTGCACAAAACCACTGCATTTGGAATCAGTCGCAGGATGCTTTTCAAGGGCAGCCCCATGTAGCAGTCAAGGCTGGCAGCTCTTAAGATTCCTGGAGGACATCAACTCTCACTTGAAACCAGGGAAGAAACCGAAGGAATTTCTCTTTGGTTTGGGTTGTGTGTGTGTGGGTTGTGTGGATCTAGATGTGCGAGGATGACACCCTACTTTGCTCAGTTTTGAACGTGGCCGATAGGACACATGAGGGAGTTGGAGAAGAAGGTTGGCATTGCTAAAATCCGGCCCTTTCCTTCTGAGCAGAAATATGTTTTTCCCCCCGAGGGCACCCTAAAGAATGTGGCTGAGATGTTTAATTCTTGTTCGCCTCCCACCCCCCAACTCCAACCCAGTCAGCGGCTGCTGATGTAGGTGAGGGAGACCAACGGGGGGGGGGGGGGCTGTATTCTGCCTCCAGGGACAACATTCTTCAGTTATGAAATAGTATCATCCCCCATCCTGAGCAGGCCTCCCTTCAAGACCCAATTTGGCTGATTACTTTGGGGGGGAAGAGGAGAAGGTAAACGAGGAGGAGAAGAGAAGGGTAAACGTGGAGGAGGGAGAGGGGGAGGGAGAGGGAGAGAGAAGGAGAAGATAGACAAGAAGAAGGAGAATGGTAGATGAGGAGGAAGAGGAGGTACACGAGGAGAAAGATAGAGTAGCCATGGAGGAGGAGGAGAAGGAGATAAGGAGAAAGAGAAGGAAAGAGTAGAGGAAGAGGGGAAGGGAGGAGAGGAGGAGAAAGAAGATGGACAAAGATGAGGAGAATGGTAGGCATGGAGGAAGAGGTAGATGAGGAAGAGAAGGAAAGAGTAGAGATGGAGGAGGGGAAGGGGGAAGGAGAGGAGGAGGAGGAGGGGAAAGAAGATAGACAACAACAACAAGGAGAAGCTAGACAAGGAGCAGGAGAATGGTAGACATGGAGGAGGAGAAGGAGGAGGGTGAGGAGAAGGAGGAGGAGGGGAAGATAGACAGGAAGGAGGAGAAGGAGAAGATAGACAAGGAGGAGAAAGGAAAAGAAATGTTAGATCTGGAGGAAGAAGAGGAGGAGGAGTGGGGGAGAATATAGACAAGGAGAAGGAGGAGAAGGAAGAGGAGAAGGAGAAGCTAGACGAGACTTTGTTTGATCTCACCACACCACAGCTCTTAATTCCCTTTTCCTGAAATACCTAAGGTAGCCTCTGTTGGTTTCCCCAGACCACAGATCTTAATTCCATTTCCTTGAGATACCTAAGGTGGCTTCAGTTAATCTCACCAGACCACAGATCTTAATTCCATTTTCCTGAAGTGCCTAAGGTGACCTCTGTTGATCTCACCAGATTTATCCTTTGCTAGAAACCTCTCAAATTATACAAGAATGCTGATGAACACTCCAGAAGTTCGCACAACTTCACCCTAATCTTTTCATGAATTTGCAAGACTAGAGGAACCAAGGAAGAATCAAGATTTTTCTTACTACTACCTTCCCTGCTGATGTTCCTTCATTTCTACAAAGACCTCTTTTCCTACCCACCCTGAGATCCTCCCTCCTTCTTTCCAAAAGTTGGGTGACCTTATTCCAAAAGTGGACACTCACCTTTGTCTAACACCGGTCCAAAGATGGCCAAGCTATCATTGACGGTGGTACAGTTCCATCTCCTTCCACGAAACTGGTGCTGGCATTCCTGAATGCCAATCTTCACTCCTTCGGCCACGCTGGGCATAATCTGCACATAGTTCCTGCAGAATCGAAGCTGCTTGGGCACTAGACCAGGAATGCTCCCACAGAGAATGGGCTGGGTTCCCAACGAGGAATACTGATGACCGATAGCCAAAGACCTTCAAAAGAACAGGAAAGGGCAGAATCAGAAATCAGTTCCTCAAAAGAAATATCCATCTGCCTCATCTTGAAGCCTCCACAAAGGAGAACCAAGGTGGTTGAGAACTTACGGGAGTCTCCTGTCCCACCGTGTGGGCAAGGACTTCCTACAAAGATACGGGGGGTCCTGATCAACTAACTTTGGAGTTGACGTGGCGTCTTTTCAGGTGGACTCTGTGGACCACCAACACATTAGGCGAGAAGAGGGCTTGGTCATTTATGACACCCTGTGTTGAGAATAGTCAATCCTTGTCTTCACATGTTGGATGGACCAACGCTTCAAACCAGAATATTTGCCTGGACAAAGCATGTTAGATGAAGAGTTGAGTTTGAACATCCCTTTAGACATCAAAGTTGAATTTATCTTTCGCCGGGCAAGAAATATTTTTTTGATTCTAGTGAGCTTCATTTCTCATGGGGCTAACTTGAGATTGTTTAGATTTTGGAGTGTTCAGACAGGGCCAGGTGATCTAATGGTTAAGGCATCAGGCTAGAAGCTGGGAGACCATGAGTTCTAGTCCTGCCTTTGACAGGAAGGCCAACTGGGGTGACTTTGGGCCAATCATCAGGAGACGGTGAGTTCTAGTCCCACACTAGGAAGGAAAGCTAACTGGGTGACTTTGGGCCAATCACCAGGAGACTGGGAGTTCCAGTCTCATCTTAGGTATGGGCTAGTCCCTCTCTCTTGGCCCAGCCAACCTTACAGGGTTGTTGTGGAGCCTGGATTAGCTCAGCAGACTAATGCATTGTAATTTAACTCCAGCTGTCTGCAATTAGTAAGTTCAAATCTCCCCAGGCTCAAGGTTGACTCAGCCTTCCATCCTTTCTAAGGTAGGTGAAATGAGGACCCAGTTTGTGGGGGCAATAAGCTGACTCTGTATAAAATATACAAAAGTATGAAGGCTATTGCTTAACGCATTGTAAGCCGCCCTGAGTCTCCGGAGAAGGGCGGCATATAAATCATATTTAAAAAAAAAAAAAAGAAAACAGAAAGAGGAAGGGGCAGGATAAAAAATTACACATTTAGGATTGAAAATCATGACGGGCACTTTCCTGTACCCCAAAGATGCAAAATTCCAGGCGAACAAAAATCTCCAAAGAAACAAACCATGTACAGAAAAAAAAAAGAGTGGGGGGCAATATTTCACAACACGATGTGTTGAATTCATAAGCCACCTTTTCCTCGTTCAAAAGGGGTGAGTCAGAGGTTGATGAGAAAGCGAAGAAAGATGTTATGACAACTCCTAACATCATCAATGAGTTGGACTCCTTAAAAAAAGTAAAACTGTTTGTAAAACGGATGTGACAAATGAAACACACACACAAACAAAATTCCCAATTTCCCGAAGCCGACTTAAGTGATGTTGCCTGGTGCATCTTCACTTTTCTGCATAGACTCTTAGCTTAGTTATAAGGTAGTCCTCAACTTACAACCACAACTGAGCACAACATCTCCATTGCTAAGCGAGACGGTTGTTAAGTGAGTTTGGCCCCATTGGATGACATTCGTTGACGTGGTTTTTAAGGGAATCCCTTGTTAAGTGAGTCACATGGTTGTTAAGTGAATCTGGCTTCCCCCATTGACTTTGCTTGTCAGAAGGGGATCACGAGACCCCGGGGGGGCACTGCAGCCGTCATAAATATGATTCAGGTGACAAGCCTCTGAATTTTGATTGTGTGGTACGGCAACGGTCGTAAGTGTGAAAAATGGTCGTCATTTTTTTCACTGCTGCTGTTAACCACAAACAATCATTAAATGTTATAAGTTAAGGACTAGCTGTAATTTTAGTAGCATGTAGTCCTCAACTTACAAGAGTTCATTAAGTGACCATTACAAAGTTACAACGGCACTGAAAAAAGAGACTTACGACTATTTTTCACACTTACGACCTTTGCAGCATCCCTGTGGTCATGTGACCAAAATTCGGACACTTAGCAACTGGCACATATTTATGACGGTTGCGTTATTACCTAGGGAACATCTTCAGTGCTAGGAGGGAGTGGGGATTGCAGAGAGGAAGAGAAGGAGGAGGAGAAGGAGAAGGAGGAGGAGGAGGAGGAGGAGGAGAAGGAAGAGAAAGACTGTATGGTCCTTGGTGCTCCCACAGAGCACCATGGACCCTACAGTTCACCTCCTCCTCTTCCTCTCTAGAACCCCCTCCCGTCTAGCCCTGATGATGTTCCCTAGCTGGGTCACGAGACGTCTGCAAGAAAACCACCCAGTTCAGAGAGCACCAAGGACCCCACCGTCGTCGTCGTCGTCCTCCTCCTCCTCCTCCTCCTCCTCCCCCCCCTTCAAATCCTCCTTCCTTCTAGCACTGATGATGTTCCCTAACTGGGTCATGAGACGTCTGCAAGAAAACTACCAAGCTGAAGAGAGCTCCAGGGACCCCCACAGATCTTATTCTGTAAGAGCTCACTATTCTAGGAACTTTATTTCCTGGTAATATATGATGCCAATCCTTAAAGATCCTTTAATGAGTCAGGGGAGGGATCCAGGGGAAGAGGAGGCTACAAGTACGTAGCCATTTCTGCTCCAAAACCCCCATTCTTTGCAACGTCGCTTCCATGAGCGAGCCAACTCTCCTATACAGGTAGTCCTTGACTTACAACCATCCGTTTAGTGACCATTCGAAGTCACAACAGTACTGAAAAAAAAAGCGACTTATGATCATTTTTCACACTTACGACCACTGAGACATTCCCATGGTCACGAGGATCAAAATTCAAACAGCTTGGCAGCTGATTTATATTTATGATGGTTGCAGTGTCCCAGGGTCTCGTGATTCACTTTTGCGACCTTCCACTCAGCAGCATCAGTAGGGAAGCCGGATTCAATTAACGACCATGTTTCTCACTTAACAACTGCAGTGATTCACTTAGCAACTGAGGCAAGAAAGGAGCAGAACTCACTTAAAAACTGTCTGGCTTAGCCACAGAAAATTTGGGCTCGATTGTGGTCGTACGTCGAGGATTTATTAAGTCGTAAGTCGAGATAAAGAAAAGGATTTTTTTTTTAAAAAATATTGTTTTGTTAATGCTGCTGCTGCTGATGGTTTTACTTCAGCTTTTGCCACAGCGCTGTGGCCACTGTGGTTTTGTGTTAACATTAAATAAGTAGAAATAAATAAATAAAATGGAACATCTGTAAAGATGGACACACCTTAAAATGGATAAATCCTTTTTTTTTTCCCCCAGTCTCATCTCCCAAACCAATGAGTAGATAATGAGTAAGATGCTGATTGAAAATTTTTCAAAGAGGAAGAAAGGATGCATCTACCTAAATATTGGCAGCCCGATGCTAAAATCAGCATCCTGTTGTTGGAAATAATGTTTTTTCCCGCCCCCCCCTTTTCTTCCCCAGCCTGGGGCAATTCCTGACTATGAAGATAAAATCAGAATGAGTTGGCAATTCCAAGGAATTTTGGGGAGGTTGATATGATCCCTCAAGATTCCCGAAGACTGGCTGCAAAGGTGTCACAGCAGAAACCAACCAGGGATGAATCAGTCGGGGGCGGGGAGGGGGAGGGCAGGGGGGCAAATTTGCAGGGCTCCAAAAGAAAGGGATTCAGAGTTAAAAAATTGTAGTTTGGTCTCTCAAAACCTGCCAGCAAGTCAGAATATCTGAACTTAACCTGGCCTCACAAAGTTGGTGTGAAAAGTAAAACACAAAGGAAGGGAAATCATTTTGGTCTCTTGGGGTGAAAGTTGAAAGGAAACTACAGGCTTACATCCATTCATTTAGTGACTGTTTGAAGTTGCAATGGCACTGAGAAAAGCAACTTAGGACTGCTCTTTCACACATTAAGCAGCATCCCCGTGGTCACATGACCAAAATTCAAACACTGGGCTTCTGACTCATATTTATGACGGTCGTAGTGTCCCCAGTTCCTATGATCCCCTTCTGACAAGCAAAGTCAATGGGGAAGCCAGATTCACTCAACAACCATATTCCTAACTTAACAACTGCAGGAATTCACTTAACAACTGTGACAAGAAAGGTCGCAAAACGGGGCAAAACACACTTAACAACTCTCTTGCTTAGCCACATAAATTTTGGGCTCAGTTGTGGTCATAAGTCGAGGACTATCTGTAGTTAGTAAATTAGGTGGATGGATGGATGGATGAATAGCTTAACACAAATAATCTTTGTGGTGAAAATAAAATGAGGAGGGAGAGAAAATCTCCCGCACCATTTCGATCTCTTGAGATGAGTTTAAAAAGGAAACCAGTTCATTTTTTATTTTATTTAAATTTCACATTTCTGAACTCCCTCAAAGAGTTAGCAAATACAGGTAATCCTCCACTTATGAACAAAATTGAGCCCAAAATTCTCATTGCGAAGCAAAACAGTTGTTCGGTGAGTTTTGCCCCATTTTATGACCTTTCTTGCCACGGTTGTTAAGTGAATCACTGCAGCTCTTAAATTAGTGGTTGTTAAGTGAATCCGGCTTCCCCATCGACTTTTATGATCAAAGGTCACAAAAGGGGATCACGTGACCCTGGGACGCTAACAACTGTCATGAGTACAAGTCAGTTGCCTGAATTTCTATCATGGGACCAGGCAGGATGCTGCAACGGTTGTAAGTATGAAAAACGGTCATAAGTCACTTTTTTCAGCACCATTGTTACTTCAAACGATCACTAAACCAACTGTTGTAAGTTGAGGACTAACTGAAATTATTGAATTATGTTTGCAAGCCAAAATTCATTTGGGCTGTTTTGATCTCTCAAAATTCCAAAGGAAATTTATTTGCAAATGAGGTTAGTGAATGAACAAACAAACAAATAGCTGCGTGTAATAATCCTTTTTTTTGGGAAAATAAAATACAAAGAATAGACAGATGCTATTTTGGTCCCTTGGGATGAAAGTTGAAACTAGTTAGAAAATGAATGAATGAAAAAAATATCCCATTTCTGGGGTCGTGTTAAGCCATTACAGAAACACAAACCACTGTTA